AGAGATCGAGACCATCCTGGTCAACACGGTGAAACCCCATCTCTACTAAAACTATAAAATATTAGCTGGGCATGGTGGTGCGTGCCTGTAATCCCAGCTACTCAGGAGGCTGAGGCAGGAGAATTGCCTGAACCTAGGAGGCAGAGGTTGCGGTGAGCCGAGATCGCGCCATTGCCCTCCAGCCTGGGTAACAAGAGTGAAACTCTGTCTGTCTCAAAAAAAAAAAAAAAAAAAAAATTAGCTGGACGTGGTGGTGGGCACCTGTAATCCCAGCTACTCGGGAGGCTGAGGCACAAGAATGAGTTGAGCCTGGGAGGCAGAGGCTGCAGTGATTTGAGATCACGTTACTGCCCTTCAGCCTGGGTGACAGAGCAAGACTCTGTCTAAAAAAATTAGCCAGGAGCGGTGGCACACACCTGTAGTCCCAGCTACTTGGAAGGCTGAAGCAGGAGGATCGCTTGAGCCCAGGAGTTCAAAGATAAAGTGACCTGCAATGGCGACACTGCACTCCAGCCTGGGTAACAAAGTAAGATCCTGTCTCAACTGAAAAAAAAAAAAAAGCAAAATGATCCCTGTTCAGAGCAGGGTCTGGCGCTAAGTAAGGGCTTCTAGAAGTACCAGGTCATGGAATGAATGAGGAATGAACAAGAGCACAGGGTTACTAACTACACTCCTTTGGAAGCCTGAGAGAGATGAACAACATTTAATGAGCACTTACTACGTTCCAGGTGCCGTCTACAAGGATTAACTCTTTAAATCCTCCCCAAACCATGTGAAGTAAGTACTAAGATGAAAACACTTGGGTTCAGCCAGGTACAGTAGCCCATGCCTGTAATCCCAGCACTTCAGGAGGCCGAGGCAGCAGATCACCTGAGGTCAGGAGTTCAAGACCAGCCTGGCCAACATGGTCAAATCCCATCTCTATTAAAAATACAAAAATTAGCCGGGCGCGGTGGCTCACGCCTGTAATCCCAGCACTTTGGGAGGCCGAGGCAGGTGGATCACGAAGTCAAGAGATCAAGACCATCCTGGTCAACACGGTGAAACCCCGTCTCTACTAAAACTACAAAAAAAATTAGCTGGGCATGGTGGCACGTGCCTGTAATCCCAGCTACTCAGGAGGCTGAGGCAGGAGAATTGCCTGAACCCGGGAGGCGGAGGTTGCGGTGAGCCGAGATCGAGCCATTGCACTCCAGCCTGGGTAACAAGAGCGAAGCTCCGTCTCAAA